ATGAAAGAACTAACCAACAGTAATTAGAGTGGTGACCACGTCTTAATTGCTTGATAGTTTATCTCCCCAAGACTTTTAATAGCAGGACAACAATTTGGTAAGACAGGTTAGGTCATCTTAAAAATCATTTTCTGGTTCCCATTTTATAACAAAAACCAGCTCATCGTAGTTGCAACATTAAATCAAAACAATTGTTTTGTAGCATAAATTGCAGAATCTTCATGGGCCATAACTCATAATCTGCCTGTGTCATAATCAGCAAATCATGAAAACTTCAAAATATGCATCCTTCCCGAAAATTGAGATGATCTAAACTGGATCACAAGATCATTGATTTCGTGGTGGGTCTCTTGCATCAAAATGCACAACGGCACGAAAAACCAAAAAATACTTCATAGTTTACACCAACCGAGCAATAACTTCAACGACACTTAATTTTGTAATTTAGAACGCCCCTAGCTAATTTTTTTTTTTTATAAACCTTATCTTATCTAGTAATTATATTATTTAATTTAGAATCAAATCATGTTACATATTAAAAAAATTTCTTAACACTTATTTTTTCATTTATAAGATTCAAATTTAAAATTTTATTTAAAAATAAATAAATTTTTTTTACTCAAATCAATAAATTATTAATATTCCTAATTAAATTTTTAGATCAAATATTTTATCTCTAAATCTTAAAATATTTAAATTAGTAATCGAAAGTTTTGAGTCTCGTCAATATTTTGAAAAAAAATCCTCCTCCTTAAATTGTAGATGGTTAAAAAATATATATATCACCCGGCCCTCCGTTTTGATTTTTGTGCAAATAATTGTGTAACATGGATACCAATAGATATTTTTTTATGAAATTCTTGAACTCTTTGTCTTAGAGGATGCATATTAAAAATATAATTATTATATTTTTTATTATTAATTTATGTTATAAAAATAAAAATTAATTTAAATTTATTAATCATCTAATTAAATTATTTCATATGGTATGATGTTAAAAATAAATTTTATTTTTATAATTTTTATATTAATTAATAATAAATAAATACAATAAATATATCTTAATTTATGTCCTAAAAACAAAACAAAAATGAAGACTTTTTTTTTTAATAAATAAATTTTGTCAGTTTTTTTTTAATAAATTCATTTGATAGGGAAGCATTCATGGAAGTCAAAGTAAACTATTTCTTTTTATTTTGTTCCTTTTTTTCTCAATCACTAGACCTAAAGATTTAGTTGATAAAGCATTAATTAGAGTTAGACTTTATTTAGTATGGCTAGAGTTTTTTTTATTTTAATTTTTATAAATTTTATAATTATAAACAAAAATTTATTTGGTTTTGTGTTTTTAAAATGTATTATTATAATTATTAAAAAACAAAATAAGAATAATTTTAATATTATCAAAAAAATTCATATTTTTAATTTCTAGTGTTAAAATTCATTTTAAATAAATTTTTAATTTTTAATTTTAATTTTCAATAATTATAAAATTTATAAAAATTAAAATAAAAAATAAAAAATTACAACCATACTAATCCTTACCCTAGTATATACTACCCAAAAATATATATATATATATATATATATATATATGGTATATTACATATTACAGCGGGAAAAATAATACATTTACAATTTTTCCTTTCACCCCAGGATCGAGTGTGTCCAAACCATCCCACATGGCCGGTGGAAGTTTGCTACTGGTGATTACAAATTGAACGTTTCATGCTTCTTCATCTCCTACGGATGAAATTTTAGCCCAAATCCAATCCAAAAAGAGTGATGCCCAGCTTCCAATTCCCATACACATAATCTACACGTATATCCATTTCCCATTTTTTAATCCATTATTTATTATTTATTATTATTCTTCTTTATTTATTCATCTGGTTGAAGATGCCTCATGCTTCACATTGATTGATGGTACCTTACGGTTGGTGCCGGTGGTGCTCATTTCGCATTCATGATGATAGCAGTTCCTTCTCTCTTCAATTGTTAGAGGGTCTTCCCTCGTGGGGTGTTGCTTTTTGGCATTGATCTGCTTTACTTCTTGCTGTTGGGTTTGTGGATCTCTCTGTGAATTCACTTTTGGCACTGCTTAGCCTTACTTTCTGCATTTTGAAGAATACCCATTTCGATTTCTTCCTTGTTTTTGGGTTCTCCTTTGTGGGTTGTTGCCTTCTGTATTAATTCGCTTCCAGGCCTCATTATTCTTTGAGTATCCGTTCCCCTTTCCCTGATCCTTTCCTTTGGGTTTCTCTTTCCTGGGGTGTTGATTGCTTGATAGAACAAGTATTTCTCATCTCTGTTTTCTTCAAATATCCATATTTATGTGCTCTTTTTTTTTTATGGGTTATGGGTTTTCTTCTTCGGATGTGTGGACATTAATCCTCGTGGTAAGCTCATCAATCCTATTTCGAAGGGTCTTCTCTTCTTTGCTCAGTTTTGCATTTTGTGATTTGCCCTTTTTTATTGGATTATATTCTGATGTCTGTAATTAATCTCTCAGGTAACTTAAGGGTCTTCTCTTCTTTGCTCATTTCAATTGATTAGCCATTACTTTTACATGCTTCTATCTGAATCTCTTTCTGGGTCATTTCCTTTCTGTTCAATTGTAAAGTTGCATTTTTGGGGTTGATCCTTAAATTTGTTATCCTCGTTTATTTGCTGATTTAGTTTATTGTCTGTGTTGATATGAATGCCTAAATATCTGCAGACTATGATGCAGAATAGTATCAGTTTTAATTTGATCTCAGTAGAAATATCTGGGTGTATCTGTTATTCTGTTTGACCTTAGCCCTGTAGTTCTATTGGTTAAAAAAATCACCAGAGGATGAAAAAGACAAAAAACAAATGTAAGAAGAGGTTGTAACTAAATCTGTATTACAGATCTTCATTAATATTCAACTGTGTATTACAGATCTTCATTAATATTCAACTGTGTTTCCATGCGTTCCGGAGTTAGATCATGTCATCTATAATGAAACCATCTTAATTGTTGCATATTTGACATGTCGCTTGAAATACATAAAATCAGAACTAAAGTAGACTATAAAGATGATATTTTGAACTGAAAATTTGTCAATAAATCACATGACTTTGAAACCAGATTTTTTCCTTGTGACTCTCTGCATGTGAAAGTGTTCCTTTGCTTCTATGACCTCCTAGAATGAGCTAATTTCACTGTCCATAACAGCCAGACAACCTAGTTGTTTGTTGCTCATTAATGATTGATTTATTTGTTCTGATTTTATTGTTCTTATTCATTTCCCTTATGGAAAAAAGGAGGCAAAACATAATTTTATTTGTCATGTGTTTTGGTAAATTATATAGGCATCTCTGTATCTGCTGTATACATTTATGCATGTCTATATTGTTAATCTATAGCAACTTTTTTTTACTGATATCTTAACTAAAAGATTTCATATTTTTGAAACTAATGTGCAAATAGACAGCTTGAACAGCTTTATACAATAGAAGCTATAATGGAAAACGCCAATGTTAGTGTTTCTTTTTTTTTTTTCTTTATCAGCCAAAAATGCCAATTTTAGTACCTCAAAACTTTCATATATGTTGCCCCTATAGCTTTTTGAACTATCTGATGGCTAGCAGAATTTGATATCAAGATTTTGTGACACTGATGCATTGTTGTTTTTCTTGAAACATTAAAAACTGCATAATAGAAGCTTATTGTTTTCCTTTTCTGGATGGATTAATACTTTCCATAAACTCTTTAACATGTTATATGGTCATTTTTTTCCTACTTCTTAACAACATAATTGTGTGTGTTATAGAAAAGATGAAAGGCAGAATGAGAGAGGGAAGAAAATAGGAGCTGTACTCTGCCCATTACACATATAGTTACAGAATTGCATTATAATGGCAGTGTCTCAGCAAACAGTCATGGCTATCAAATCTTACCAAAATCAGGCCCAGGTGCTGGTCAAGAACTACTTGCTAGCTGATCCGTTCATACCATACACTTCCATCCTTTGTGGCATACTTGCCTGCAAAGTGGTATGTTCAATCTTTCTCTTATAGATGTCAAACTTCTTTAATTTAGGTCCATCTACCCAGTAAAGGCTGGTTTCTACTTCAATTTTAATGTGACGTGCAGTATGCATGTACTGTTAATAAACTTAGTTAATCTAGCTTAACCTTCTTAACACCATACATGGTTTCAGTCTTCCAGATCTTCTTGTCTCGTTTGTTTCCCCTTTTATAACTCAATCTTCATGTTTTTTATGGTCAATTAGGCCTATGATCTTTCTCAGTTAATCAGCAGTTTCTATATCAAGAGTTATACTGGTCTTACAAAAATGCAAAAGATAGAGTGGAACAATCGGTAAGTATGCAATGTAATCTAGTTTATCCTTTTCCTTTGTCCAAAAGAACTGTTTGTTGCCTCACTGATAAGTAATCTACTTTGGCAGTGGTATCTCTACAATTCATGCAACTTTTATCACAGCAATGTCATTTTACTTGATCTTCTGGTCGGATCTCTATTCTGATCAACGGCTTGCTGGTCTTGTTACCTTCAGAAGCTCACCACTCTCTACTTTTGGATTGGGGGTAAGTGATGTTGTTTGTTTGCCATCTTTAACCTACCCTCACCCCCAATCCCCAAAAATATATATTAAAAGGTTTTTGTGGCTGTTTTTCTCCTTGAATGCTAGAGCTTGAACCTTGCACATTCTGCATGGGCCACTGGTGGTAGTAACCAGACACTTATTCAATCAAATTTCATTGTGTATAATTTATTGATTGATTTCGTGTTGAGCTCATCTCCTCCTTAAACTCCTTCAGGGCTTTCCTGGAAAAATTTCAGTACCAGCTTTTGCTACAATACCTATAATGTATTTGTTATGATGCTTGACAGATATCTGTTGGGTACTTCCTCACTGATCTTGCAATGATTTTGTGGCTATATCCTTCTTTAGGTGGAATTGAATATGTAAGTATTCTTTAGATTAAAATGACTATGGCTTATATTTTATATTCTAATTGCTCAGTTATCATCATATTGAGAACTAAAGGTAAAGCTTTAACTGATTGTTCTGATACTTATAGTGCATTTGAGCAACCCCTGCAATTTTTATTTCTTGTATCATTGAAGTTTCAGAAAAGGAGAACGTTTAAAACTTAGTAGGTTAACCATTACTGTCAAATGTAAGAGTGTAAATATTATTTACCAAAAAAAAAAAAAAAGAGTGCACATATTTAAGATTGTTGTTTTAGTGCATTCTATGCAATGCCTGAGGCTACAAGATGCTTACATTCAATTTCAGGTTGTTCATCATTCTTTTTCGGGAATTGCAGTAGCATATTCAATGTTCACTGGAGAAGCACAGCTTTATACATACATGATTCTCATTTCTGAGGTGACAACTCCAGAGATTAATATGAGATGGTAGGTTCTGACAAGTTTAGTTATGTTTAGATTTTGAAATTCTGACTTCAGTTATCTAATGGGTCTATCGTGAAGGTATCTTGACGTGGCTGGTATGAAGAGGTCCAGTGCATATCTCATTAATGGTGTCGTGATCTTTTTTGCCTGGCTGGTGAGTTAACTTCACTTTGATTTTCAATAGGGACCTACTTTTCTACTTGTCTCACCATGTGTCTCATTTCTTAGGGAGAGCAAGGAGTAAAAAGAGAGAATATAATTATGAGGAAATTTAGATAATCAAAATTCTTTTCCATGTCTATCTTTTCTTTAATATTACAAATTCCTCCTAGCCTCTTCAGACACTAGCTGACATAAATTATTGATCACAGGTTGCAAGAGTTCTGCTGTTTTTTTACGTGTTTTACCATGTCTACTTGCACTATGATCAGGTAATCACTAATCATGCCGCCCTGAAATTCACTTTTTAATACAAGGGAGGACAGGGAAATATAAATTTAGAATTATTATTTAATATTTATCAACGATTCCAACTGTGAGGTTCGAAACTTCATTCGCCTCCTAACTAGTTGTTTGGTTGATCATCAGGTTAACCAAATGCACACCTTTGGTTATCTCTTGGTTTTTGTGGTGCCATCGTTATTAGGTACCATGAACTTGGTGTGGTTTGGGAAGATTGTTAAAGGATTGAGGAAAACTTTAGCCAAAAGGCAATGATGGATGGAAAGATGTTAATTAAGTAGGAGGGAACCAGAGGTCCTGCTTTGGCTGCCTGGGTGTAACAGTTTCTGGCCATCATTTTGCTTGTTTGTTATATAAAAAGATGATGGGTAGGAGTGGAACGCAGTGTGCAGAAGAAAAGGAAAAATCAAGGTTATTGTATTCCCTGTGCAAACTACAAACCTGCTTTAGCAGTCCTCCAAATTAATGATTAGTTCAACTTTGGTTTTAAATCAAATCAAATGATTTCTGTGTAAATGCAAAATCTGTCCCACACCTATATGAGATTATTTCAAGTTTGCCCTTCTAAATTATATAAGCAAACTCTAGATGCTTCTTTGAGCACATGGTAATGTAGGATTGTGAGTAATTCCTAAACTCTTTGGGCCTATTTGGTTTGAAGGAAGGGAAAGGAGGGGAGGTTATTTCAACCAATCAAATTATTTTATTAAGCCAATAACTTAATTTAATTGATTAAAATAGAGTCCCCTTCCATTCCCACAATCCAAACAGGTTCCTAAGGTCATATTTGGTTCAAGGAATAACTAATCTCTTGTCAAACAAGGAATGGAGACAGATTAAGGTTTATAATTTTCTTCTAAATTAAAGGGTCAGTAAGGAATAACCATCAATTATCACATTTCCACTAAAAATGATTATTCATTACTTTTTATAAGTCATTAGCTGAACTTAAAAAATTAAATCAAACGAAACCTAAGTACTTATTTGATTAGTGATAGTGATTATTCTTTAGTTAAATTATAAAAATAAAATAAAATCAAGAAACTTTTATATGAAATTAGGAATAGTTAAGCGTTAATATCTAATTTTTATTTTACATTAACAAATAATCAATGAATACTTATTTCTTAAAAATGGAAGGAATACATATTCTTTATTCATCTCTTGATTTAGTAAAATATTATCAACACTAACACTTAACTATTCTGAATTTTTCAAAGAGGTTCCCTAAATTTATAATAGAGGGTGTTTAGTTTACTTTCATAGAAAATGTCATTCTCCATAATTTTGTAAGAATATTTTGATCCTTATACACCTTAAAATTATAATGAATATACCAACAAAAGTAACTCAAAAATAATTATTATCACCGACCAAATATAACATGAAGCTCATAGTGCAACTTTACAACTAATTAAATATTACATAGTGCAGGGCAGTTAAGATCTTCGCACTTTAGAATTATTGTTACTCCTAAAGTACTTAAAAAACGACGTCTTATGTTAAAGAAAGAAGAACAAGTACAAGTTCATGAGTTGTAATTCTTAAACTCTGCATGTTTTCAAAGTTCAAAAAGTGGGCGCACCCTGTATTCGTTAATACCACGGCTGGTTACCAACCTCTATTACCAAATGGAGTAGCTAGAAAGGAAATACAAGGCTGGGAAATTATGTGCGGTGTTTGCTGTTGCTGCGCCATATCCACATCAGCTGGTGGCGGCTGTTCTGCAGAATAGCTGGATTTTTTGTCCAGATTCTTGATTTTCATTTTCTCTTGCTTAATCATCTGGATTAATGAGGGCCACGATCTCCTTTTATTCTTTGATTCTGTGGGGTCGATATATAAGCCTTCCAATTTGAAGTATGTGCATATATCTATGGCACAGGAAAATGATAGAAGTATACAGCACGGACGGAGCCAGCATAGGACAGGGGGGCAGCCACCCCTCTAAACTTTTAAAAAATGTCAAATATGGTACAAATATTTTTGCTTTTTACAAAATTTTATTTTTGAAGTTTGAATTAGAGAGGCCATTCAAATATATATATATATATATATATGCATGAATTAGATAAAGGGATCATTTGTGACTAATTCTTATAAAGACATAATAATTTTATCTAAGAAAAAATATATAAAAAAAAACTCTAAATCTAGTTATATTAAATATAACTTGTATAAATTTTTACATGGGTTATATGTCATTTTTGTTTATATAATTAATATTTTATCAAACCAATAGCTAGTTAAATCTATTTTATTTATGTAAATATGTTCTAAATTTAAAATTAATTTGATATATATAACCTTACAAAGAAAATAAATTACACTTTTATACTATTTATTTAATAGTTTTAAATTATAAGCTATTAAAAAATAGTTAAATATATAATTAATTTAAAATTTGACGTGAAT